TTTTGAGATTTCTTGTGATTTTTTTGTGAATTTTTTGTGGATTTTGGAGGATTTTTAAAAAAATTTGGGGGGGGATTTTTTGTGGATTTTTGTGGGGATTTTTTGAGAAATTTTGGGGATTTTTGGGGGGGATTTTTTTTGTGATTTTTTAAATTTTTTTAGGGCATTTTTGGGGTTATTTTTGGTGTTTCTGGGGAATTCTTTGGGAACCTGAATCGCCGACATCGTCTCCGTACGGGCGGAAAAACGGGAATTTCCTGGGAATTCCGGGAATTCCGGGAGCGTCTGGGGAATTTGGGAATTCGGGGGATTTTTTTAATATTTTTGGGGATTTTTAGGGAATTTTAAGGGGATTTTTGTTTAATTTTTGGGATATTTTTTGAGGGTTTCTTGGGAAATTTTTGGGAATTTTTTTGGAATTTTTAGGGGATTTTCGGGGGATTTTTTGAGGATTTTTTTGGTCTTTTGTGAGGAAGTTTTGACATTTTTGGGGGATTTTTTTGGGGGGAATTAAAGGTGGGATTTTTTTTATTTTGGGGGAATTTTTCTGGAATTTTTTGTGGCTTTTTTGTGAATTTTTCGAGGATTTTTTGGGATTTTTGTGGGGATTTTTTGGGACTTTTAAGAGAATTTTTAGGGATTTTTTTTGGTGGTTTTTTGTGATTTTTTAAGGCATTTTTGGATTTATTTTTTGGTGTTTCTGGGGAATTCTTTGGGAACCTGAATCGCTGCATCGTCTCCGTATGGGCGGAAAAACGGGAATTTCCTGGGAATTCCGGGAATTCTGGGAGCGTTTGGGGGATTTGGGAATTTGGGGGATTTTAAACAAATTTTTTAGAATTTTTTTGAATTTCTTGGGGGGATTTTTAGGGAATTTTAAGGCGAATTTTCTTGAAGTTTTGGGATTTTTTGGGAATTTTTTAGGAATTTCTTGGGTGTTTTTTGGGAATTTTTAGGGGATTTTCAGGGAATTTTGGAGGGATTTTTTGAGGATTTTTGGGAAATTTTCAGTGGATTTTTGTTTAATTTTTGGGATTTCTTTTGAGGATTTCTTGGGAATTTTTTGGGAATTTTGGGGGGGATTTTTTTTGGGGGGATTTGGGATGAGGCTGATCCCAAATTTCCGTTGGAATTCCGGCAGCTTTTCATCACGGTCATGGACAAACTGCGCCTGGAGATCCGCGCCATGGACGAGGTGGGCGTTCCCAAAAATTCCCCAAGTCCCAATTCCCATCCCAAAAATTCCCCAAGTCCCAATTCCCATCCCAAAAATTCCCCAAGTCCCAATTCCCATCCCAAAAATTCCCCAAGTCCCAATTCCCATCCCAAAAATTCCCCAAGTCCCAATTCCCATCCCAAAAATTCCCCAAGTCCCAATTCCCATCCCAAAAATTCCCCAAGTCCCAATTCCCATCCCAAAAATTCCCCAAGTCCCAATTCCCATCCCAAAAATTCCCCAAGTCCCAATTCCCATCCCAAAAATTCCCCAAGTCCCAATTCCCATCCCAAAAATTCCCCAAGTCCCAATTCCCATCCCAAAAATTCCCCAAGTCCCAATTCCCATCCCAAAAATTCCCCAAGTCCCAATTCCCATCCCAAAAATTCCCCAAGTCCCAATTCCCATCCCAAAAATTCCCCAAGTCCCAATTCCCATCCCAAAAATTCCCCAAGTCCCAATTCCCATCCCAAAAATTCCCCAAGTCCCAATTCCCATCCCAAAAATTCCCCAAGTCCCAATTCCCATCCCAAAAATTCCCCAAGTCCCAATTCCCATCCCAAAAATTCCCCAAGTCCCAATTCCCATCCCAAAAATTCCCCAAGTCCCAATTCCCATCCCAAAAATTCCCCAAGTCCCAATTCCCATCCCAAAAATTCCCCAAGTCCCAATTCCCATCCCAAAAATTCCCCAAGTCCCAATTCCCATCCCAAAAATTCCCCAAGTCCCAATTCCCATCCCAAAAATTCCCCAAGTCCCAATTCCCATCCCAAAAATTCCCCAAGTCCCAATTCCCATCCCAAAAATTCCCCAAGTCCCAATTCCCATCCCAAAAATTCCCCAAGTCCCAATTCCCATCCCAAAAATTCCCCAAGTCCCAATTCCCATCCCAAAAATTCCCCAAGTCCCAATTCCCATCCCAAAAATTCCCCAAGTCCCAATTCCCATCCCAAAAATTCCCCAAGTCCCAATTCCCATCCCAAAAATTCCCCAAGTCCCAATTCCCATCCCAAAAATTCCCCAAGTCCCAATTCCCATCCCAAAAATTCCCCAAGTCCCAATTCCCATCCCAAAAATTCCCCAAGTCCCAATTCCCATCCCAAAAATTCCCCAAGTCCCAATTCCCATCCCAAAAATTCCCCAAGTCCCAATTCCCATCCCAAAAATTCCCCAAGTCCCAATTCCCATCCCAAAAATTCCCCAAGTCCCAATTCCCATCCCAAAAATTCCCCAAGTCCCAATTCCCATCCCAAAAATTCCCCAAGTCCCAATTCCCATCCCAAAAATTCCCCAAGTCCCAATTCCCATCCCAAAAATTCCCCAAGTCCCAATTCCCATCCCAAAAATTCCCCAAGTCCCAATTCCCATCCCAAAAATTCCCCAAGTCCCAATTCCCATCCCAAAAATTCCCCAAGTCCCAATTCCCATCCCAAAAATTCCCCAAGTCCCAATTCCCATCCCAAAAATTCCCCAAGTCCCAATTCCCATCCCAAAAATTCCCCAAGTCCCAATTCCCATCCCAAAAATTCCCCAAGTCCCAATTCCCATCCCAAAAATTCCCCAAGTCCCAATTCCCATCCCAAAAATTCCCCAAGTCCCAATTCCCATCCCAAAAATTCCCCAAGTCCCAATTCCCATCCCAAAAATTCCCCAAGTCCCAATTCCCATCCCAAAAATTCCCCAAGTCCCAATTCCCATCCCAAAAATTCCCCAAGTCCCAATTCCCATCCCAAAAATTCCCCAAGTCCCAATTCCCATCCCAAAAATTCCCCAAGTCCCAATTCCCATCCCAAAAATTCCCCAAGTCCCAATTCCCATCCCAAAAATTCCCCAAGTCCCAATTCCCATCCCAAAAATTCCCCAAGTCCCAATTCCCATCCCAAAAATTCCCCAAGTCCCAATTCCCATCCCAAAAATTCCCCAAGTCCCAATTCCCATCCCAAAAATTCCCCAAGTCCCAATTCCCATCCCAAAAATTCCCCAAGTCCCAATTCCCATCCCAAAAATTCCCCAAGAAATCCCCAAAAAATCCCCCAAAATATCCCAAAAAATCCCATAAAATTCCCCAAAAAATCCTCACAAAAATTCCCTAAAAATCCTCACAATAAAAAAAAAAATCCCAAAAAATCCCATAAAATATCCCAAAAAATCCCCCAAAATATCCCAAAAAATCCCATAAAATTCCCCAAAAAATCCTCACAAAAATTCCCTAAAAATCCTCACAATAAAAAAAAAAATCCCAAAAAATCCCCCAAAAGATCCCAATGATTCCCCCCCAAAATCCCCCTGAAAACCCCAAAAAATCCTGTAAAATTCCCAAAAAAATCCTCACAAAAATCCAAAAATTCCCCAAATCCGCCCAAAAAATTCCCCCAAAAATCCCCAAAAACTTCCCTAAAAATTCTCACAAAAATCCAAACAAACCCCCCCAAAAATCCAAAAAATTCCCTAAAATTCCCAAAAAATCCCCCAAAAATCCCAACAATTCCCCAAAAAAATCCCCAAGAAAATCCCAAAAAATCCCCAAAAATATCCCAAAAAATCCCTAAAAATATCCCGAAAAATCCCCCAAAATATCCAAAAAAAATCCCCCAAAATATCCCATAAAATTCCCACAAAATTCCCTAAAAAACCTCACAAAAATAAAATATAAAAATCCCATAAAATCCCAAAAAAATCCCATAAAATCCCAAAAAAAATCCCATAAAATTCCAAAAAAATCCCATAAAATTCCAAAAAAAATCCCATAAAATTCCAATAAAAATCCCATAAAATTCCAATAAAAATCCCATAAAATTCCAATAAAAATCCCATAAAATACCAATAAAAATCCCATAAAATTCCAATAAAAATCCCATAAAATTCCAAAAAAAATCCCAAAAAATCCCAAAAAAAATCCCATAAAATTCCAACAAAAAAATCCCATAAAATCCAAAAAAATCCCAAAAAATTCCCTAAAATTAAAAAAAAAATCCGAAAAAGATCCAAAAAAATCCCATAAAATTCCAAAAAAAATCCCATAAAATTCCCCAAAAAAATCCCATAAAATTCCAAAAAAAATCCCATAAAATTCCAAAAAAAATCCCAAAAAGATCCCAAAAAAATCCCATAAAATTCCAAAAAAAATCCCATAAAATTCCCCAAAAAAATCCCATAAAATTCCAAAAAAAATCCCAAAAAGATCCCAAAAAAATCCCATAAAATTCCAAAAAAAATCCCATAAAATTCCCCAAAAAAATCCCATAAAATTCCCAAAAAAATCCCATAAAATTCCAAAAAAATCTCAAAAAATCCCCAAAAAAATCCCATAAAATTCCAAAAAAATCCCAAAAAATCCCCAAAAAAATCCCATAAAATTCCCCAAAAAATCCCATAAAATTCCGAAAAAAATCCCCATAAAATTCCAACAAAAATCCCATAAAATCCCAAAAAAATGCCATAAAATTCCAAAAAAAATCCCATAAAATTCCCAAAAAAATCCCATAAAATTCCAAAAAAATCTCAAAAAATCCCCAAAAAAATCCCATAAAATTCCAAAAAAAAATCCCATAAAATCCCCAAAAAAATCCCATAAAATTCCAAAAAAAATCCCATAAAATTCCAAAAAAATCCCAAAAAATCCCAAAAAAATCCCATAAAATTCTAAAAAAAATCCCATAAAATTCCAAAAAAAATCCCATAAAATTCCCCAAAAAAATCCCATAAAATTCTAAAAAAAATCCCATAAAATTCCAAAAAAAAATCCCATAAAATTCCCCAAAAAAATCCCATAAAATTCCCAAAAAAATCCCATAAAATTCCAACAAAAATCCCATAAAATTCCAAAAAAATCCCAAAAAATCCCAAAAAAATCCCATAAAATTCCTCAAAAAATCCCATAAAATTCCCCAAAAAAATCCCATAAAATTCCCAAAAAAATCCCATAAAATTCCAAAAAAATCCCAAAAAATCCCCAAAAAAATCCCATAAAATTCCCCAAAAAATCCCATAAAATTCCAAAAAAAATCCCAAAAAATCCAAAAAAAATCCCATAAAATTCCAACAAAAAATCCCATAAAATTCCAAAAAAATCCCATAAAATTCCAATAAAAATCCCATAAAATTCCAAAAAAATCCCAAAAAATTCCCAAAAAAATCCCATAAAATTCCCAAAAAAATCCCATAAAATCCCCAAAAAATCCCATAAAATTCCAATAAAAATCCCATAAAATCCCCAAAAAATGCCATAAAATCCCCAAAAAAATCCCAAAAAATCCCAAAAAAAATCCCATAAAATTCCCCAAAAAATAAAAAAAAACCCCCCAAAATTCCCCAAAAATTCTCCCGAATTCCCGGAATTCCGGGTTTTTTTTTGGGAATGCGCAGATCCAGCCGGATTTGCGGGAGCTGATGGAGACGATGACCCGGATGAGCTCCCTGCCCCCGGATTTCGAGGGACGCCAGAAGGTGAATCAATGGTGAGATCCCAAAAAAAAAAAACCCCGGAAAATTCCGGGAATTTCCAGAAAAATCCGGGAATTGGGGGAATTTGGGGGAATTCAGGAGTGAAAATTTGGGAATATCGGGGGGGGGAAAAAGAAAATTCCCGGGAGGAAATCAGGGAAGTTTGGGAATGAAATTTAAGAGGGAAATCAGGGAATTTGGGGGAGGAAATCGGGAATTTGGGGAATTCCGGGAGTGAAAATTGGGGAATTTTGGGAATTGTTTTGGAAATTTTGGAATTTTTTTTGGAAGTTTGGGAGTTTTTGGAGGGATTTTTTTTTTTTGGAATTTTTTGGGAATTCTGGCTGGAATTTTTTTTGGGAATCTGGGATTTTTTTAGGAATTTTTTGGGAATTCTGGGCTGGAATTTCAGGAATTCTGGCTGGAATTTTTTGGGAATTCTGGGCTGGAATTTCAGGAATCCTGGCTGGAATTTTTTGGGAATTTTTTGGGAATTCTGGGCTGGAATTTCAGGAATTCTGGCTGGAATTTTTTGGGAATTCTTTGGGAATTCTGGGCTGGAATTTCAGGAATCCTGGCTGGAATTTTTTGGGAATTTTTTGGGAATTCTGGGCTGGAATTTCAGGAATCCTGGCTGGAATTTTTTGGGAATTCTGGGAATTTTGGGCTGGAATTTTTTGGGAATTCTGGCTGGAATTTTTTGGGAATTGTGGGAATTTCCAGGCTGCAGACGCTGAGCGCGATGTCGGCCTCGGACGAGCTCGACGATTCCCAGGTCCGGCAGATGCTCTTCGACCTCGAGGCCGCCTACAACGCCTTCAATCGCTTCCTGCACGCCTGACCAGTCCAAACCAGTCCAAACCAGTCCAAACCAGTTCAGAGCAGTTCAAACCGGAGCCAGCGGAAATGCGGGATAATAAACGGAGCCCAAAAATCCCCCGAATCCCGGAGCAATTCCGTTCTTTTCTCGTGTGATTGGAGCAAAACGGGAGCTGATCCCAGTTCAGACCAGTCCAAACCAGTTCAGACCAGTCCAGACCGGTTCAGACCAGTTCAGGTTCCTGGGATAACAAATGGGAAAAACCAAATCCCAAAAATCCCCAAAATCCTGGAGCGAACTGGGAATTATTGGCTCAAACTGGGATTTATTGGCTCAAACTGGGATTTATTGGCTCAAACTGGGATTTATTGGCTCAAACTGGGATTTATTGGCTCAAACTGGGATTTATTGGCTCAAACTGGGAACCATTCCCAGTTCAAACCAGTTCAGACCAGTTCAGGTTCCTGGGATAACAAATGGGAAAAGCCCAATCCCCAAAATCCCCCAAATCCTGGAACAAACTGGGAATTATTGGCTCAAACTGGGATTTATTGGCTCAAACTGGGATTTATTGGCTCAAACTGGGAACCATTCCCAGTTCAAACCAGTTCAGACCAGTTCAGATTCCTCGGATAACAAATGGGAAAAGCCCAATCCCCAAAATCCCCCAAATCCTGGAACAAACTGGGAATTACTGGCTCAAACTGGGATTTATTGGGTCAAACTGGGATTTATTGGCTCAAACTGGGAACCATTCCCAGTTCAAACCAGTTCAGACCAGTTCAGATTCCTGGGATAACAAATGGGAAGAGCCCAATCCCAAAAATCCCCCAAATCCTGGAACGAACTGGGAATTATTGGGTCAAACTGGGATTTATTGGGTCAAACTGGGATTTATTGGCTCAAACTGGGATTTATTGGATCAAACTGGGATTTATTGGATCAAAAGGGGAGCCATTCCCAGTTCAAACCAGTCCAAACCAGTTCAGACCAGTTCAGAATCCTGGGATAACAAAGAAGAGCCCAATCCCCAAAATCCTGGATCAAACTGGGATTTATTGGGTCAAACTGGGATTTATTGGGTCAAACTGGGATTTATTGGATCAAACTGGGATTTATTGGGTCAAACTGGGATTTATTGGGTCAAACTGGGATTTATTGGGTCAAACTGGCAGGCATTCCCAATTCAAACCAGTCCAAACCAGTCCAGACCAGTCCAGCCCAGTCCAAACCAGTCCAGCCCAATCCAAACCAGTCCAGCCCAGCCCAAACCAGTCCAGCCCAACCCAAACCAGTCCAGCCCAGTCCAGAGCAATCCAAACCAGTCCAGAGCAGTCCAGCCCAGTCCAAACCAATTCAGACCAGTCCTGCCCAGTCTAAACCAGTTCAAACCAATCTAAACCCGTCCAAACTAATCCAGACCAGTCCAAACCAGTCCAGACCAGTCCGTCCCAGTCCAAACCAGTCCAGACCAATCCAGACCAGTCCAGCCCAATCCAGACCAGTCCAGACCAATCCAGACCAGTCCAAACCAGTCCAAACCAGTTCAAACCAATCCAAACCAGTCCAGACCAATCCAGACCAGTCCGTCCCAGTCCAGACCAATCCAGACCAGTCCAAACCAATCCAGACCAGTCCGTCCCAGTCCAAACCAATCCAGACCAGTCCAGACCAATCCAGTCCAGTCTGTCCCAGTCCAGACCAATCCAGACCAGTCCAGACCAATCCAGACCAGTCTGTCCCAGTCCGTCCCAGTCCAAACCAGTCCAGCCCAATCCAGACCAGTCCAGACCAATCCAGTCCAGTCTGTCCCAGTCCAGACCAATCCAGACCAGTCTGTCCCAGTCCGTCTCAGTCCAAACCAGTCCAGCCCAATCCAGACCAGTCCAGACCAATCCAGTCCAGTCTGTCCCAGTCCAGACCAATCCAGACCAGTCTGTCCCAGTCCGTCTCAGTCCAAACCAGTCCAGCCCAATCCAGACCAGTCCATCCCAGTCCGTCCCAGTCCATCCCAGTCCATCCCAGTTCATCCCAGTCCATCCCAGTCGGTCAGGCTCCGTTCCAGAGGCGCCTCCCGGGGAGCCGCAGCTCCCGGATTTTCCCTCGGCTCCGGCTCCGGGCGGCTCCGTCCAGGTCCCCGACGCCGCATCCTGAGGGAATTCCGGGAATTTTCCGGGAATTCCGGGAATTCCGGGAATCCACGGGGGGGGGAGGGGGAGGTGGCACCGATGACGTCATCGTTATCCTCCCAAAATTCCCGGAATTTCCCCCAAAATTCCCAGGATTTTCCCAAAAATTCTGATTTTTTCCCCCCAAAATTTTCCCAAAATTCCCAGTTTTCCCCAAAATTCCCGACATTTTCCCAAAAATTCTGATTCTTTCCCCCAATTTTTCCCAAATTTCCCGAAGTTTTTCCAGAAATTCGGGTTTTTTCCCCAAATTCCCACCATTTCTGCAGAAGTTCTCATTTTTTTCCCCAGAATTCCCAACATTTTCCCCAAAATTCCCAATGTTTTTCCAGGAATTCTGATTTTTCCCGGCATTTTCCCCAAAGTTTTCCCAAAAATCCCAATTTCTTCCCAAAAATTCCAAAATTTTTCCCAAAATTCTCAATATTTTTCCAGAAATTAAAGTTCTTTTCCCAAAATTCCCAATATTTCTCCAAAATTCCCAAAATTTTCCTTAAAATTCCCAATATTCTTCCAGAAGTTCTCATTTTTCCCCAAAATTCCCGATGTTTTTCCCAAAATTCCCAACTTTTCCTCACAAGTTGTCACTTTTCCCCCCAATTTTCTCCAAAATTCCCCAAATTTTCCCCAAAATTTCCATTATTTTTCCAGGAATTTTGGGTCTTTTCCCAAAATTCCCAACATTTTCCCAGAAATTCTCATTTTTTCCCCAAAATTCCCAACATTTTTTCAAGCAATTATGATTTTTTTTCCCGAAATTTTTCCAAAATTCCCAAACTTTTTCCCATAATTCTGAGGATTTCCCAAAAAAACCCGGAATTCCCCCCAAATTCCAAGGATTTCCCTCAAAATTCCAAGGATTTCCCAGAATTTCCCCAAAATTTTCCCCAAATCCTGGAATTTCCCTCTGAATTCCCAGAATTTTGCCAAAAATTCCTGGAATTTCCCCTGAAATTCCCAGAATTTTCCCCAAAGTCCCCCAAAATCCTGGAATTTCATCCCAAATTCCCTTAATTTTCCCTCAAAATTCCCCCAAAATTCCCAGACTTTCCCCCAAATCCCTGGAATTTCCCTCAGAATTCCCAGAATTTCCCAAATTTCCCTTAAAATTCCCCAAAAATTCCCAATTTCCCCCCAAAATTCCCCCAAAATTCCTGGAAATTTCCCCAAATTCCCAGGTTTTCCCCCCAAATCCCAGGAATTTCCCTGGGAATTCCCAGAATTCCGGTACCTGCCAGGTTGAGGAATTCCAAGCCTCGTTCCCGTTTTTCCAGCGCTTCCAGAATGTTCCGGAAGCTCCCGGATCCGAGCTCGGGATTGGCCGAGAGATCCAAAGATTCCAGGGAGGGACAAAGAGGGAGAGACCTGGGGAAAAAACCCAAAATTCCCAAATTTTCCCCCAAATT